AACAATATTTGTACTGCTGTACATATTTAATGAGTACGATAAAATTATTATTAATGCTATTTCTGTGTGTACTGACGATACCATGGAGTTTTTTGAGATTAAATGGCAATACGGGCGATCATTTTTTGTTCGATAATATATTATGTACCTTATAGACGTTTCGCGTCCATCAACAAAACGTCTTTAGTCTTTAATAGTGTGTGACTTATCTATGTATAATATAATATAGAAAACATCATCAGAATTTTTATTAGCTCGATTATAATAAAATGTTTAACAATATAATCAATAATTAAAAATAATATAGTTATCATATTATTAGGTACTCACATGGTAAATTTTTATAATTAAGTTACATAAATTAAATTTATTAACTATAAAATATTTCGGGGAGAGGGGGGGGGGCAAAACCTCCCTCATATACGACCTTGAACTACAATGTGTATATATATAGCTATTATAGCTGCATGTAGTCGACTTTATTATAATATGGCTACTACTGTCCGCGTACAGAACGATACTCAATAATATTTTAACTACCACCGCCGCTGCCGCCGTTCGATTATTTTATTTGGGGCGATGATAGTTCATAATACATACCATACATAATATGATACATAGAATTACACCGTGTGTGCAGGTAGGTATATAATATTATATTGCAGCAGTCGCAGTTCAGCTGATCGAACCCGCGCGCAAGATATACTCGATACGAGACGACTTTTTCATTCTTTCGTTTGATGTTGTAATATATCCTTCAAAAAGTGTACGATAGGGGGACGGAGTAGACGAGCGGACCTAGGCGTCAGCTGCGACGCAGCCGGCCCGGATTCGATACCGGCTGCCTTTCGACATTTTTCTTCGGGCAAGTCACGGTGTCCGGAGAACAAGTGCCGCCATCCCCCACCCGGGGCATGGCAGAAACCTACGGGTGCCCCATTAGAAATTCTGCCAAAACACACATACGTGTGCCAACCTATTCAATATAAAAACTCACAGTTCCATCCCCACACCCAAGGTCCTATGTTGCCGCGGATTATCTAATAAAAAATAAATAAATATTAAAGGTAACGTAATAATAATATTATATAATAATAACGTAATGTATCAGCTGCCAAACGCGATCGAGTGCTATCGAGTGCTACCTAATTATAATATAATATATAGGTATATATTATAATATATATATTATTTACTTACTTATAAATTCGACATAACATTTTCAATACAACCCGTTTATATTGTGTACAGATCGACATGAGTACAATATAATATAATATACTAAATAGGTATAGTATATTATATTTATTAAATTGTTATTATTTCAGAGTTTGTATAAGTGAGACGATGTTAAAAAAAATTGAACACTTAGGTATATTCTTTTGTCTACACACGCAGTGTGATCCATAAAATTAACCACAGTTACACTAATTTTCTCAGATATTTTTTGTTTAGTTTGTAGACACCTTGTTATAGAATGGGCTGAGACATTAATGCACAAACACTAAATAAATAGTTATTAACTATACATATTTTTTCTGATAGGAGAGTGAATCTAGTTGGTACTTTAAGGGGTCAAAAGTAAAAATTTTCCAATAGTTTTCAAAAGCGCCGTGAAAAACAAAAGAAAAATTAAGGAAAAATTCGAATTTTTAAGCAAAATCTGTTTTCGAGAAAATTGATTTTGGTTTTTGGTGCAACTCTTAAACAAATGTCCGTAGGTATATTAAATTTTGACTGAATGTTTATATTAGCATTTTCTATATACCATAACATTTTCCAAATATTTTGACTTATTTTGAACTCTTTAGGGACATTTTCAGTTTCCATATTTTTTAGTTTTTTTTTTCTATAAATATCAATACAATTTTATTTGTTGGTTAAAAAAGCTTGAAAATTTAATAGAAGTCTCCTACTATATTGTTACAATGGCATTTGAAAAATATTAAAAATCCTTAGTCACAGTTTTTTTTTATAAGCATTTAAAATTCAAAAATTGACAAAATATGGAAAAATCACGAAAATTAGCAAATTATTTTGAGTTGAGAATTCGTAAAATTTTTTCTTTTTAAATCTAAGATTTTAAAATGTAATACAAGATTTCTTATAAGATTATCTACTTTTATAAAATAAAAATATCTATAAGGAAGTCAAATTAAATTTTTATGAGCGTTTGAAATTCAAATTTTTACAACATTGGATATTCACTCGATTTCTCATGAAGGGATTTCCTTATTTTTCCCAAAAACGAATAATTGTAGATACATGACAATTTAACTGAATGTTTATATAAGCATTTCCTATACATCATACAATTTTGAAAATATTTTGACTCTTTTTGAGCTGTTTACGGACATTTTCAGTTTTCAATATTTTAATTTTTTTTTCTTCTATAAATTTCAATAAAGTTTTATCTGTTTGGCCACAAAGTGTAAAAGTTTAATACAAGGCTCCTGATTTATTGTTACAACATCAGTTGGAAAATATTAAAAATACATAAGCATAATTTTTTTTATAAATATTTAAAGATCGAATTTTGACAAAATTTATTGTATGATATTATTCGTGGGTACTTTAAACTTCTAAAGTATACTATTATATATCTATGATATTATCACGGTTTATTGTTGATTTATAACGCGTTATGAGTTCCTAATGGATATTGTGATGTGATTAATTAGGAATTTATTAAAGGTACATATTATAAGTAAAATTGTTTTAATACCATATATGAGTATATAATATGTCTTATACCTTGACTGACTTACCGTCTCCGCTCAGAATCGTTTTTCTTAAACAATGATATTATATCATTGAATTAAACTTGAATATCATCCATTATCCAGTGACCCACTTGTAACCTAATGTCCAGAAGAGCGACTTTTTTTAAATTGTTTGTGTCTGTGTCACATTAAGTACATGATAAGTAATCGAAATAATGGTTCTATTTTCAACTTCAGTATCTTGCTCGATGGGAAAGTGAATCTAGTTTTGCATTGCGGGGATGTAAAAATCCCTTAGTCACATTATTGTTCAAAACCACCCAGAAAAAAAAATTAAGGAAAACGGGAATTTTTACGCAAAATCAGTTTTCGACAAAACGATTTTGGTTTTTGGTGCAACTCTTAAACAAATGACCGTAGGTACATACAATTTTGACTGAATGTTTATATTAGTATAGCCTATACACGATAAAATATTTTAATTTGTTTTGAACTGTTTATTGACATTTTTATTCTCCAATTTTTTAGTTTTTTAGATTCTGAGCGGAGCGAGGAAGCTATAGTGGTTTTACAATGGTGTTTATTTTTTTATTTTTTTTTTATTTTTTTTTTATATCCTGTATACAAAATTTCTACCAGAAGGAGTGCTTTGATTTCAACATATAGTACCTTATCTTTTAGCAAATTAGACCAAGATGGTACTTTAGAGAGGTCATTTTTCGATTTTCTCAATAGTTATATAATGCCACGAGAAAAACCACCGAAAAATTACGAAAAACCATTTAAAATCGGATTTTAATTTCTAACGCTTTGTTTATCACCATAGAAACGAATAAAAAATTATAATATTAATTCAACTTAAATGATATAATAAATAATAACTATATAAAATATCCAGACTGACAAACCGTCTCCGTTCAGAATCGTTTTTTTTATACAATGATATTATATCATTGAATTCAAGTTTAATACAATCCATTAAACAATGACCAACTTGTAACCTACTGTACAGCTGAGCGACATCCACTTACCTGCCTTTTTTTTTATTAATATCAATTAATTTGTATTTGTAAGGTAAATATGCTTGAATATTTAATACAAAGCTCTTGATATATTGCAACAATGATATTTGTAAAATATTAAAAATCTATAGTCACTATTATTTTGTAAGTATCTATTTAAAGTTCAAATGTTGAAAAAAAACGTAGGCACAAATAACGAAAATGTGCAAATTATTTGGAGTTGGAAATGCATAAATTTTTTTTTTAAATCTATGATTTAAAAGTGTAATACAAGATTTTCATATTTTGCTGGTAAATTAAAAACGAATAACTTTAGATACATGAAAATTTATCATTTATCATTTATCATTTTCTATACACCATAAAAATTATGACTAATGTTTTGACTCGTTTTGAGCTGTTTACAGACAATTTAAAATTTCAATTTTTTATTTTTTTTTCTCTACATTTCAATAAAATGTTATTTGTTGGTCCAAAAAGCATGAAAATGTAATACAAAGCTTTTGATAATATGTCGATTCAATTGCAGTTTAATAATATTAAAAATGCATAGGCACAATTTTTTTTAAAAAGCATTTAAAGTTCGATATTTGACAAAATGTATTAAATTTCAAATCTAGTAATTATTATGTATTTAAAAATGTATCAAATGTTCAACTTTAATAGCTAAGGATTGAAAATGTAAAACAATGTTCCATTTAAATAGTTTATATATAAATTACTTTATTCACAATAATATCATCAAATATAGGTAATTAGTTATATCATAGGCTGTCTGCGGACCTTATTTGCTCAGAATCGTTTCTTCTATACAATGATATTATATCATTGAATTTAAATTTATCACCATCCATTACACTGACCCACTTGTAATCTACTGTACAGCAGAGTGACACTCACTTGCCCACCTTTTTTAATTTACATTTTATGTTATAAAAATACGCAAGTAGTTCGCAAACGGGCTACCCCATTTCAAAGAGTCTAATCTTTTTGCTATTGAAAAAACTGCAGTACAATAATATAATGCATGCATTATATTTTAAATAAGAAATTTAATAATTTTTCCGGCTTCCTATAATAGCTATCGTCAATACCCTGTAACCCACCTAGGCCAATATTCAGTACCTACATAATATATAAGTATGTTAATTATTCGGAAATTTTTTAAAATTTATTACATTTTAAATTTAAAATTTAATTCAATTTAAAATGAACATAGCTATATAACTTTCGACGATAGAACTTCATCAAATCATCACGCCGGTTTTGCGTTGTCCACTTTGACCATGTGATTGTACAGGTCCAATAGTCGTTTTGAATACCCCATCTCATTGTCATACCAGGCCCCGATCGTCAAAAATTTGTCGCCCATAACCAACAACTGGCGAAAGTCAACTATTGCCGAACAATAACTGCCAATGAAAGCGGAGCTGACACGTTTATCATTAAAATAGGATATCATTTCACACTCCCAGAACTTTGGACATATCAATTCCTCTAGTTTCACTGGTTTCTTAACTCTGTAAATATAAAGACAAGTTTGAATCAACTAGAAAAAAATTTCGGAAATTCGGAAATGATTTTTGGATAAGTATACACATAAGTTTTTAATATGCAAAGTATCTATTTATTATATTTTTATAATTTGCGTTGCATAGTATGGTAGGTAATTACTAATTATATAAATATACATGGAGAATCCTTTACTCATTATTTTCATTATTTTACTATTGTATATTTGTATATTAGAAGAACACGCATTGCCGCCTATCTATCTCAATCTTAATATATATAAATCTCGTGTCACAATGTTTGTCCTCAATGGACTCCTAAACCACTTAACCGATTTTGATGAAATTTTTTACACCACGTGTAATTTGGTCCAACTTAAAAGATAGGCTAATTTAAAAAGGGAGAGGACCAACCCCGGGAGGTGCTCAAACGGGAATTTTGAGATTTCCGATGGAAATTTTTGTTTATAAATGGTTGCCATGGGTTTTTAAGCTATTGCAATAATAAAAATAATTTAAAAAATAACTATTTGCTTTACTTTTTAAATATAAATTGTAATATAATATCTAACTATAAAAATGTGAAATGAAAATCTCTGTACTACTTATCTCTGGAGCTTCTTATCAGATCTTCTTTATTTTTTTTAAATGAAAGAGTATTTCATGGATAAGGTTTATATGAAAAAAAAAATGTTAGGAAAATCCACCAGTGTATTATATTATATCGGTTGCTATTGGTTAATCGGGCATGTTTTTGATTTGTATCATTATTTTTTGTCAATAAATACAAAAAGATCCAATAAGTAGTTCCAGAGTCTGTATAGTTATAGTCCGTGTATTTATATAGTTATATATATAAATTAATGTTTGTGGGTAGATTAGACGTCTGGGAAGAAGATAGGTTAATTAAAATTTACTAAGGGTTAAATTTGTTTTTTTTTCATCGGGTTTTAGTACGGTTAGGTTAGGATAGGATTTTGTATAAAATGATTATAATAATCCACCTTAAGCGAAATGAAGTAAAAACGATAAACTTGGTATAACTTTGATACTTTAGAGTTAAATCATACACTTACGTACAAACAGCACAGGGTACGCTATCTATCGCAGGTAGATTACTGCTGCGAATCAGAATTTTTATTCGGGGCAACGGAAAAGTTAAGATTAATTTTGAACACCGCATACACCGAATATTAAATAACGAATTGAACAAACTTTGAGACATATAGAATTGATACATTTAACGGGGCAACGAAGTGCACGGGATCAGCTAGTATAACATAATATTTTTAGCCACTTAATTCAGAATTCTTAAGTTCAAAGTTTACTTTGACTACTTCGCATACCATATTATTATTATACGATATAATAAAAACATATTATACTTTACGTTATATAGAGTTTTAGCAGTGAAACGTCGAGGACGGGCACTCTTATCGAGTCACCAGTCACTTTTCCTTTAACCTCCGGTATGATGATACCCACGGCCTTTGCGGCGCCGGTCGTGCTGAATGCCATGTTTCCTAAGGCCGACCCCTGAAATTCAAAATCATAACCATTATTACAACGCGTTTATTATTTATTATAAGAGGGCACGTAGGTAAAACATTTTTTTGGTTTTTAAATTCAATCGTGATTAGTGTTAACAAAACGGTATTTTAACATGCAATAAATAGATAGGTACATCGAGAGTTACGACATTCGTATTAAAATAGCTTACAAATTATTATTAAATTATATTACTAACATAAATAATTTAAATTAAATAAATAAATTGTTATTTATAGCCTTAAAAAAATAGCTCCTCACGTGCTTAACTCCATCGTGGACATGCTGGGAGGCAGTCACGGAGTGAACAGTCGTCAGTAGACAGAAATCAACACCATATTTTTGGTTGATGATGTTTATCAATGGCGCAGCACAATTGGTTGTACATGATGCGTTCGAAACCACAGTCATATCTTTTTTATACTTGTCGAAGTTGACGCCCCTTACAAACATCGGCGCGTCTTTGCTCGGAGCGCTGATAATAACTTTTTTGACGCCGGCCGCCAAATGTTTCTAAAAAAAACGTTTGTACGTCATAATATTATAATTTATAATCAATTGAGCGGGCTCAGTCATAAATCATATAATATTATCTATATAAATATCCCTCGTAAAACGTATTTCATAGCAAATACCTTGGCTGTTTCAACTTCCGTGAATTTTCCGGTCGAGTCTATAACGTACTCAACCTGCAACTCTTTCCATTTGATCTTTTCGGGTTCCTTTTCAGAATATACCCGCACGGTTTTGCCTGTCAGAGCCACCACGTGTAAAAAAAAACAACACAATGTTTACCGTTATATCCGCATTCGATTTATAATCGCAACAATATTTTACAAAATTGCATTATACCTACATTAAAGTTGTGAACAAAAATACATATATTTTAGCGCATACTACTGCATTTTTCTACATTCTACAGTTTTTGTAACATATTTTACAATCTTAAAGGAGTATTTGAAATATTTTGTGTGATTTTCTGACCTAGGTATTGTATTAAATGTATTATGATAAGCAATTTACGTTGAATTTTGATTCATAACAAAATTATACTACGATTTTGCGTAATTCAATAAGTTAATTCACGGTCAACAGGGATAAGGGACTATCAAGGTCGACTTTTGTTTACCTTTGAATCTCAAAATACTATAGCCGTGAGTCGTCGATGTGAACGCAAAAAGTAAATATTTCGAACACATAATAAATACCTATACAGTATTTTACATTTAAAAATGTTGAATAAATTGAAAGTTTCATGTTTTTTTTTTTTTTTACAATAAATGTGCTTTTCGTGAGTGCATTTTACAATATTTTGATTTTTGTTGCACATAAATCATATCTCTATAATTATAATTGATATTAGTTATTACCGTCGATGTCCAGATAATTATCACCCTTTACGCTAACGTTTCCGCCAAACGTTCCATGCACCGTGTCGTATTTTAACGAGCGGGCGATGTCCTCTATTTTGGCACCCGGCTCGTTGATTGCGACCACCTGTGGATGACGAGAGAAGAGTGCTTAAAACAGTTTACGAAGAATAAATGACGTGTGATACGACTTACGTTCATGTCTTCGTGAAGGGCTATCCGGAGAACGCATTTGCCTATACGGCCGAACCCGTTAATCGCCATAGGTGGTGAGCTGGTACAGGGTGCCTCATTAGCACAGGTCACCAGTGGTTTACATTGGCCCTATTTAAAAATAAAAGGGTTTAAAACAATTTGCGAAGAATTAAAATTGAATTTTCACCGGCAGACGAATATACGTAGACCAAAGTGATATGACTTACGTTCACGGTGTTTTGGATGGAAAACTGTCGCACGCTATCAACCATACGTGAAAATGTGTCACCGTTGATCAACGATGAGTTACATACACGTGATGGACCTTGCACACTTTTCAAACCAGTCGAAATAAGACGCGTGGCGTTTTTGAACATCGTAACTGTATTGTGAAAAAATACTTGTTAAGTATAATTCGTATGAGATTATAATAATATTCAAAATAATCGAGAGAAATACAAATTATGTTTTTTCAGTAGGTATAAAATAAATCGAATAACAATATGAGAATGTTTTTTTGAGTTACCTGAACGACCGAATGTGTAGATTATCATCGGTATAATATTGTATTCTAATCAAGCCATATACGTATTTTTTTGCAAACGAAAAATATTTCTTTTACATAATAATATACAAAATATAATAGCACCTGACCCTTATTGTCACGTATACAAGTTATTACGTATACAAGTCATCGCCGTCGTAACAAAATAATTCAATACATTTTTTTTTTAAACTATTATTGTTTATTTTTACTTTTTATTTTGTCAGCATACTATATAGGTGAGAATAACTTTTTAACAATACTTGGAAGTTCAGTGAAACCTCCTTGTTAACTCGATGGGCGATTACGCTAGCTAGTATATTTCGGGGTGTTGTGATTGCCTAACCAACAGCTTAGGCGTCCGGGGTATATATAATATATATCTATATAAGAGAACCAATTTTACTCAAAGGAACCATACTATTCTTCAAGCTCCGGCGAAGAGTCTATGTGACTATGTATTACTATTGTTCTTAGACCTTAGTCGAGTGTTTATTAGCCATCGTTAAAAATGCTTAAGTGTAGTGTTTGCGATAAACTTTTTTAAGAAACTTGGAGACGTCAACCTCTCATTTATAAGTAGGTATATAAAATATCGATACAATATAGTAAATTAATTTACTGTATGAAAATACTTAAATACTATACACATTTTAGGTGATATGTTTATTTCTCCAATCAGAATATTGGAAATTATGCTGTGTTTACATTACCAAACCCAAGTCATTATAAAAATACGTTAAGGGAATTCGATACCGTGATTTTCTGTTTTTGTCTAACACACACGTGACATAATATTTTAGACTGGTTTTTTTGCAAACATAAAAATTGATCTAATGATTTTTTATTTTTTTATTTTAACTTCTCCAAAAATTAAAATATGACTATTTTTAAACACTCTTTTTTAATATGACATTTTTAGGAATTTGGGGGATAATATCAAACATGTGGGAAAGTCGATTTCAAGTAGACTTGACAACAAATTCAAATCTGTTTTCAGAATTCTGATCGCTTCAATAGATTAATTGGAATGTTTTGCAAAAAACATATAAATATTTTATTGAATACAGACATATTTTTGTAAAATAATAGTATTTAATTATTTATTACATTAGAAAAAATAATATTACATTAATTATTATAACATGAAATTACTCACTTATATTTAATAAGCTAATGGCAACATCCCTGTGCAACCGACGAATTAGACAGCTCGGCCAATCCGTCCCCCTTATATAAAGTTTATTATTAGGTATTCTGAATATTAATATATTATTCGTTTTAGAAAAATTGACATGCAAAAAATTATTTTGTATTTTAATATTCAAATTTGACTAATTAATAATTTAGTTATTTGTTGTATTAATTATAAATTAAATATAAAATCTTATTTAATTATATTTAATACAAAATACAATTATTAGATAGAAAATACATTTATTAGGGTTTTACTAATGTTTATCATAAAGCTATTTTCGATATCCAAAAATTAATGAATCCAATTTCCATAACTCATGTATAACTAAATGTCCGAAGTCTGAACTAGGTATTTGTTGTTGCCTTAAACTTCACATCTACATCATCCTGGTCCTTGAAGATCTGCACTCTTAAATTTGGGTGCCTACTTTTTCGAAATTCTACAATGGTAGAATACAAAAAAAAAAAAAAAAACGCAATATAAATGATAATATTAAGATTGAAAAACAGTTTTTTCATACGGACTGAGGACCGTCAATGGTGGAGTTAACACTAAGATTTGCACATGTGGGCATGCTGATGAATATAATTAACTCAAAATAAGCTAAGTTAAGTGAACACACGTTTTTTCTAAGTCAAAAGTTGATGGTTAACTCTTTGAGGGGCGAAAATTTCCTTTGGAAAAAAGCCCATGTGGGCAATATGTCTCTTTACCATAACATTTAGTACGTATATCAAAATATTGATAATGATAATAAATGATGAAATACGCGAGAAATGATATCAGACCAGCGGCAGTGATATTGTTTGATGCATGTATTAGATGATAATAAGGTGGTTGGTATGCTGACGATTTTCAAAAAAATATTAAAAATAATTTTAAAAGTGGTTAAAATAGTAACCACCGCACCTGAACGGTAAAAAAAAAAGTGGTTAGCATACTAACCAGGGCCCCTCAAAGAGTTAATAAATAATAAATTTAACTGGTTATATTCTGAATTTAATTTAATTTTAAAACAATTAACTTTTTTTTAATTCAAACATTTTAACTACCTATTTAATCTCCACTTTTAAAGATATGACTTAGTTACTTATGTACCTAATTTTATGTTAATCAATACATTCAATATTTTACTGTATGTGTAATTTATAAGTTTAAAGTTATACCTAACTTATATAACCAACCATTCATTACTTAGGTATTGTACCTATTAATTTGTTTATCTTTATTTCATATTAGTTTTTATTTTGTATTTTATTATTTTTTAATTATAAAATATGTACTTGATAAGTAACCTAGCTTGGTAAAATTGTACCATGTAATGTACCATATTTTAGTGATGAGCTAAAAAAAAAAGTCATTTAATATTTTCTAAGACTAAAAGTGTGTGTGTGTGTGTGTGTGTGTGTGTGTGTGTGTGTGTGTGTGTGTGTAAGAAATTAGTAAACTAAAAGTAAGTAGTACAACTAAAAGTTATGACTGTTATGAGATATGTAAGTAAATGAGCGTGTAAATTATTACAGTTTAAAATGCTTATAAATTATATAAAAATTAAAATATTGTGAAAAGCCAACGCAGGGACACAGGCAATGTTCTGAGTAGGTATCTTAACCTCGTAGATTTTAAAGGGTTAGAGATTGATAGTAGGTGAATTCACTCTAATGCCGGGCTCTATCCCCGGCCTAAAATTAAAAGTAACTAACAACACATGGTTGGTTCTGCCAAACATAAATTTGCCATGTTAAGTGTGGGTCAGAGACAGAAAATAAATGGTGTTCTTTTATTCTCTAAAGTTTGTTAAATAATCATGACATAAGTTTTTTTGCTAATAATTAAGTATGAATGCAGAGATTAAAACAAATTAATTAATTTGAATGTTTAACTTTTATCTTTTAATATTATTATACCTATCCATATATGTAATTTATAGTATATACTAACTCACTTTTAAATTAATAAATCAATAAAATCCCATGAGATGCCCTCAATAATATTCTTACCTTTAAGTTTTAGTATTCACTTTAATATTAATGTATACTACAGACCGCTGTTTAGACTAATAATTAATATGGTAAAAATGATTTAGTGTTACTGTTACTGTTTTTTGTACACATAAATACACTATACACATTGTATTATATCATGGTTTTCAAAACTGAAATATAATAATATGATGTAGGTACCTACGAGGAACTAGGAAGTCGAGCCAATGTATTGAACATTTTTGAGATGTTGATTTTCTTTAAGACAATTCTACAGACCAAGTATACATTATAAATATTGCAATTCAAGTAAGTTATAAAAACATTAATATTAAAGTGAATACTAAAACTTAAAGTTAAGAATATTATTGTGGGCATCTCATGGGATTTTATTGATTTATTAATTTAATAGTGAGTTATCTGTATGACACTATAACTACATTATATTGTCTGATATTATTATTTTATATTATAATATATCTAATTGTGTGTGTAGAAATATATTTGTGTCCAAAGGGCTCAGCCAGTTAAGTCATAAGTCATAATAAATAACTATGTTAAAAAAATTATATTATTTACTTAAAATACTCATAACTAGCTTTAAAAATAAAATATAAAACAATATAAAACAAGTAAATAATTTTACTACCTATGTGTTTATTAAAGCTAACATTACAAAATTGGATCTGATCTACACAAATTTGTTATGTTACTCAAAGGTCAGAGAGAAAACAAATAGTGACATGACTGACATATTTTTAACAAACTTTTAATTTGTAGTTAATATATTGCGGAACTAGTATCCAATTTTAATAACATGGAGCATCTGAACATATTTAAATTTCAAAGGACATATAACAAGTTTGGATATTCAGTGTCCTGACAATTTTATGTAATTCATTTTGGGACATACCTGGTAACTCCATGACGCAAAATACTAAATAAAATTCTATTGAAGTGTGCAATTATGAGAAAATTATAAATATAATATTTAATTTAGATAAAAATTTGATAAAACACCTTAATACTAAATTGTTTATTTACAATATAATCATAGTCGTCCTAGGTGGGGAGGGGGTGACAAAGGGGGACATGTGCTCAAGGGCATCCATCAATTTAGGAAGCGTCATAAAAACAAATGATAAAAAGAATAATTTGAAATAATTATTTTCAATTTTATACAGTAATACCGAAGAAAAGTAGGTACCTATCAAATTGTTTATATTATTATACTATTAACTATTAAGTATAAAATTATGTAAATAATGAATTACATATATACATACTTACATGCCTATAATAATGTATAAATATCAATATTACCAAATGATAAAATATTATTGATACATTATTAATGATGATATAATATTATTACAAACTATAACTTCGTAGGTACTGTAGCTAATTATTACATATAGATTGTAAGTACCATAACAACCTACCATAGATTTGATTTTATATTACAACATTTGCTTATGTTTATAAATATAAAATAGTTTAAAAAAATTCTAAAATATTTTGAACATTTTAATGTATCTAAGCTTATTTTTTAGTGTTACACTAAAACACAAAAGCGTTTTTTTCAAAAACTGGTTTATTTTTCTTGATGTTTTTCAAAAGTTCTGGGAATTTTTTACTTTTGAACCTCCAAAG